ATATTTTATTACACATGTGTTTCACCTCCTTACTTAATTATATAAAATCTTGAGAAATTCAACATAACTTTTACTGACGAAATTAGTTAAAAGCAGAATATTTGAATAATTTAAATCATCAACTGTTTTTGCAAAATTGGACCCCATCTTACCAAAAATCTGTTCTGAATTAAAAAATAAAAAATGCAATAAAACTAATATATTACTTAATTAGAGAAGCTTTTAATTGTTTTATGAATCATATATATTTAAGATAATTTTTTTTCTTTAGGCAATGCCTAAAGAAAAAAAAATTTTTTGATGAAAAATGAATTTTTACAAGACTTGTTTTCATTATTTTACAATTTTAAAATGAATATTTTATAAAATTTTTAAATCTTTTAAAATTCATTTTCAGTGGTGTAACTCTTAGAAAATATTGTTATTAAGTAAAACTATATTTGTTAATTATAAATCATGAAGCTTATTACAATTTGATGAACCTGAATATTTTTAAAAGGAATTTCAATTTTGTTATTGTGCTTAAATGTCCTAATTTTTCTAAGTATGTGAGATTGTACATGACACTATCATTAAAAGGTCACATGTATTAAGGGTTGTTTTTGTACCCCTTACAAAAAAAAATCCTCATATAAAATTTATCATCTGGTAGCAATTCTGCATCACCATACTTGTCAATGTGTTAGGCAGTCAATAAATTGATCAATATAGTCAGAAAAACAAAACCCTGTTGTTAAGAAATGCATGTATATAACATTTTATGCTATAAGTAAGTAATATTTGTTTCAAATCTGATTAATTTGATTTTAAATTTTCTAATTTCCCTCCAATAACATTTCAGAAATATATATTTTATTTTTGCAAGATTTTTAAAACCGAGAATTAATTTTTATTTACAAATGTTTGAAAATGGCCAATTTTATCAATTTTACTAAAAAACGAAAATTGATTCTGATCAATATAATTTTTGTTTGAAATACACCACAGGGTTTTTTGCTTACTGGAAATAGTAAATTTTAAATCTTTTAGCTTTCAATTAAGGCTAAAATGAAAGCTTCAAGAAAGCTTTTTCATTTTTAAAAATTCATTTTAAATTTTACATATACCAAATTAGTGGCAGTACCTAATATATTTTCTAATGTATTATAATACAACAGTATGACTTGAGGTAAACATGTGTTTCTTATACAACAGTATGACTTGAGATAAACTTGTGTCTCTTTATTTAAACAGATCAATTAAGAGCAATAGTTTCTGTTTAACTGGGGAGCAGAAACTTTAAAAGCTGGCATGATATCAAATCTGCTGAGGTGAGTAGGATTTGCAAAAGGTTCTGTGTGTGAGAAGTATAAGCCAATTGTACCTCAGAGATACAACCCATCATAATATTGGACATTAAATGGCAGACTCCTGAGTGCAAGCCTTTGCCTGCTTGTGGTCATGTCAGTTCTGGTCAGTGGTTTTCTGGCCAGATTATGCTCTGGGTAAAACTCACATCTTCTGGTCAGTGCATTCTACCTAATATAACCTCAAAGATAATACTGGTCAGTAGCCAAACTGACATAATTGGTCAGAGGTCATCAGATTAACAGAAAGGGCACTCTAGTTTTAATAGAGTCTCTGTATCTTTGCATTATTTTTTATTTGGTTTCACTTCAACCATACTCTGGGAATAGATAAACACTGATTTCATCTATTTCAGGGGACATTTTATTGTATAAGATGTGGTCAAAACATCTGTGAGCAAGTCGAATTTAAAATATTTTAAAACAAGCAAATAAACTTGAGTTCAGTGAATGTTATAGATTTTCCTGATAAATCAAGCAACAAAGATATGGTTCTGTAGAGGACATTAAGACTACCATGGATGGAACATGTAAGCATCATGGAAGTTTTAAGTAAAATGGAAACTAAAAAAGACACTTGTATTTAGAATCAGAAAAGGACAGTTGAAATTTCTGGGACACATAATGAGGAAATAAGGCTTAGAGAATTTGACACTTAAAGGATATTGAAGGCAAGAGTGACAGAGGCAAACAGTAAATAACATACAAGCCTAATGAGCTTGTTTAAATGGATAGCAGAAAAAGAATTGCAGGAATAGTAAGACATTGTTTTTGTTGTTTTATCAACCCTCTGTGAGTTATTTAAATCTGAAATATATTTTATGAGTAAATATTAAATTAGCAGTTTTTTTGAGAATAACAATAATATTTCCAGATATGAGTCCTACTACAGGGTGCCCAGTAAAAAAGCAGTAAATTCAGAAAGAGATTTATTTAGCTATCATGATTCATGCACAAACTGAACAGTCACTGTAGATGTTTGAAATGTTTGCTGGAATGTTCAGTTATAAGTGTGTTAACCAGGGACAGTAGCTTTGTGGATAGTGTCAAGAGGAATTTAATTCCAAGCTTCAGTTAAGTTCCACTTCAATGAATCAATACTGACGATGTCATGACCACGGAAGTTAGGAGTATACTCCAGATACAGTAATTTATAACATTCAGATCTGAGCTTTTAGAGGGCCACTGAGATGGACTGAATAGGGATAGTGTATTTTCTCAAAGAATAAATTTGCCACTCTTTTTCTGGGCACCCTATATTTAACCCATAGCTGGCAAGGAGGAGATGGATTAATACCTTTTCCAAGATTATTAGTGCATAAATGAATGTAACAAACTGGACTGGAGTTTGAACCTGTCACTCTGATTACTCATTCTGAGCTATATATCACCTGTACATCCATGATAGTAAGGAGACAAATATTACTTAGAACTATGAAATTATGGAAAGGCATAATCACCCATATTCCGAATGGACATGATGCATAAAAAAAGAAATATATTTTATTCTGGAAAATATAAAAGATACAAAGAATAAGTAGTCAAAATTTTACTTAGTATAGATCTTCTTCTTTATGTGCTGTGTACCCACAATTTCTTATCATTTGCAGCTCTTAATAAGTTGGGTCTTTTTATTATGTCTCCTAAACTTTGTTCTGCCATCCATTCACTCAAGCTAGGTAGGTTATGTATTGTCTTCTTCTGACCCTTTTGACTTCAATCTGTCCTATGAGTATCAAATTTTCCAAGCCCTCTTTCCTTATTATGTGCTCCAGAAACTTCAACTGCCATTTCTTGATGTTAAGTATAAGTGACATTTTGTTTCCATTTTCACATGTTAAGTCTATGGAATTCTTGGTATCCTTCTGTAGAAATCCATTTCTGTTTCTTCTTCATCTGTGAGGAGATTGTCCAGCATCTACTGCCATATATAAGGATTGATATTATATAACAGTTCATTACACTTTTTGACATACATGGACCTTTGTTTCCACAAAAAATGAAGTATCAAAAGGATAGTTTTTCCTTTGACACTGCTATTATTTTAACTACTTTCACTCCTCAGCAAAATTTATTGTTTGAAAAAGCAATGATTAGAATTGTAATAAAACCTAAACATATGATAAAAGTGAATTTATATATTTTTTGTTCTTGAGAATTGACAACAAAATATTAAACACTATGTATTTATTACATTGTTTATTTACAAGGATAATTTTATATTTACGTCATTCTAAAACCTAATATAATAGTATTAAAACTAATGCTACACAAAAAAACAATACCTTGTCTGGTGGCAAAAGCTGCTGTTGGCATCAGGGATGGCAGTACCACCTTAGCCACTGAAACTGAGTTACCTTCCTTGGTTGGCGGCTGACAAGGGCAGGGTATCACACATGCTTTTATGTGTTGTATGTAAAAAAAATTATCATTTACCAATTTATAAAGGAATAAATATGAAAACATTCACCATTTTATAAAGTTTGAATCAATTGGCAATTAGCCAATGTTTGGTAGAACATTTCAATAAACAAAATAATAAATAAATAGTGTAAATAAACAATCTAATAAATAAATCATATTCATTATTTTTGTTGTCAATTCTCAAGAACAAATAAAATGTATAAATTCACTTTCATATGTTTAGGTATTATTACAATTCTAATCATCAGTTTTTAAAAGAATAAACTTTGCTGAGGAGTGAAGGTAGTTAAAATGATAGCAGTGTCAAAGGAAAAAGGGCCCTTTTGATACTTCATTGTTTTGCCCATTTGTCTTTGTTTCTAAAGAAATTTTTCTATTTCTTAATACTTTGCTTAGCTTTTGGAAGGCTTCTTTTGCTATTCCAATGCGCTTTGGGATTTTAGTGTTGTTCTGTGCATCTTCTGTTAAAACACTTCTTAGATATTTCAATTGTTGTACTTGTCTGATTTTGGTATCTCAAATTTGTAATTTACATGTTAGGCTCTTCTTTTTGCTAACAACTATCACTATTTCAAAAATTTATGATGATCAGGCAATCATTTTAAGAACAGAAACAGCATTGATTTCAGTATGAAAAAAACATATGGTGAATTTAACCTAATTGAATATATGAGTACTGAATAAGTATGTTAAGTTTTGTGTTAAACTTGTAAAAAATTTCAAATGTGAATATCTATATACATACACACACAAATTTGCAGCCTATCAAGTGCCAATTTCCTTGATACAATATATGAAAAAAAAGAGTGAATAACTTTTGGAAACTGAAGTGGAATGAATTGCTGAAAGGCAAAATTCATAAAAATCAATGTCTGTTCAAGTAAATTAGAATATCTATGTCTCAATTGTTATATTCTCATGTACAGTAGCCCAAGATGCTAGAATTTTATCAGCTTCAATAATTTCGGCAATTAAAATTGGAATTTTGTCAAAATTATTTCTTCTGTCTGAAAGTACCCATAAAAGTTATTTATAACAGCACCATCTCTGGGTATATCTATTAAAGCTCAAATTTAGTGTGTGCATCTCTGGGTGTGTCTATAAAGCTCAAATTTAATGTGTACCTCTTTGTGTATCTATAAAGCTCAAGTTTAGTGTGCATCTCTGCGTGTATCTATATAGCTCAAAGTTAATGTATACATCAAGAAAAAAGGTTGGAGGCTTATGACTACATCATGTTGAAACACTTGTTTCTATATGATTACCAAAGTTAAGCAATGTTGAGCCTGGTCAGTACTTAAATGGTTGACCACTTGGGAATACCAGATGCTATAAGCCAAGTTCCAATTTCTGTTGGGTGTGTTATATTTACTTATGTGCAAACACTCTTGAGAAAGGTATGTATCTGTTGCTTCTCCTCCCATCTAAAGGTTAATTAGTAAGACTTGTATCATTATTATCTAAAAAAAAAAAGAAGAACAACAAATTCTTATAAGAAGAAGTTGAATAATGCTACTGCTTTATATAGAGTACATTGTATATATGTATATATAAGAAGAGTGGACACTGATGCTAACACTGTGTGGTGATAATCTGTTTCATATTTGAATACAATCTTCAAATGGCCTGAAGATTGCATTCAAGTATGAAGCACACTATTACCACTTGCTGTTGACATCATTGTCCACACTTCTTATATATACATATATAATGTGTTCTGTGTGTAATTATATAAAGCAATAGCATTATTCATGATAAGACTTCTCAATATCAGCCAGTCAGTTAAGTGCTATACATGATACACACTTAGGTGAGCATGTCTGTTTCAGTTCATGGCTGACTAAGAAAAAGATTTTCTCACAGTAGGTTGCCATTTCTTTCTGCTATAGACAGGTTGGCAGCCAAGGTTATAAGACCCAATCCATCTTGATATTCAACCCATTGCTGGCTTAGAAGAGATGGATTCATATTGTTCCCAAGAGTATCTGCATGTAAGTGATTGCAATGAACCTGACTGGAATTCAATCTCACCACTCCAACTTCTCAAGCTCAGTCATTATGCACTATACCACACCACACATCTCATCTCAATACAGTAACCTAAAACATGTTGTAATTGTATACATTACAGATAAACTATTTGTCAAATTCTTCATTCTATAAATAAGCACAACCTTCCACAATACATAAACCTTAAGAGCATTACCATTATAATGGTATTTGTACATGAATGATTGGCTATTGATTGGCAATTATTGTTCAGTGTAAAATAAGTGGCTACATGTGACAGTTTGGCTCAAAGAAGGGTATGGTGCAATACCTTTTAAAGTTCTCTTTCTGGCTCAAATGATCTCCCATGGCATTCCCTTGAATTCTCAATCAAAAAAAGTTTGATTCACTGTTGTGTATTCAACCTGTGTTCTAACCACTTAACTGGCTTTTTGCAAACCCAGCAACATTAGAAGGAAGAATTTTATCATAAAATAACTCACTATTCCAAATAAATCTGTCTGTGTGTCCATTAATAGGTTTTCATTTAAAACTTTTTGCATGGTTTTAAGCTTTCTTCTCATAAACAAATCATTGTTCCTGTCAAATAAAAGACATGAGTTGACGACTGATTTGCAGTTTTGTTTTCTTGATTGCAAACCATAAGTGCTGTTTCTTCTGTACAGCGGTTGAGTTGAAAGTAAATAAAAGCTGTATAACTTGAAGTGTCATTTTACGACTGCCAAACTTTATCAGTTCTCAGGTCAGTCCATTAAAAAGGCATAATCTTTAGAGATTATATTTTACTCAATCTAACAAATCGAACATTCAAGAAGAAAGATGTTTCCATGACCTTACTCCCAGTCAGTGCATATCTTCATCAGACTAAAACACTGTATCTGACAGGTTTCTGAGACATGACACATGAACAACTACAATGTAAACTACAAGAGAGCGTGGCAAGTTTAAAGTAATTCATTAACTTGTAGGGTGTCTATAGTCCACAGAGAGAAATGATAGGTTTTCTTCATTATGGCAAGAATTCACAAGGGAAAGTCACGGTCTCCTTTATCTTCTATCTGTAATATCCAAGTAGAAGAGATGGGCACTGTAGTTGAGGTGAAGGAATTGTAAAAGTCTCTAGTCTGGGTTCAGGTTAATGGAGTCATACATGGACATCTGATCCCAGTAAAGATACATGGTGAAATGGGGAAGAGGCTTATTTTGAAATTCTGGGATTGAAGTCTGTCAATTAAGGTCTTTCTGTTTCCTGTTTAATTTTTTTGCATGATGTGAATAGGTTTTTTTTTTTAATCATTGCATCCCAGGTAAGGCAATAAAGACTTTAATATGCAAGAAATTATTGAGTGTTAAAGAATATGAGGCAAAAAAAGAAAAAAAACACTATTTATGAGAGATAACAATTAAAGAACAAGAATTAAGAATACAGAAAATAACAATTGACATTACATTTAAAATTTGAAGATCAAAGTTGACTGGGAAGCAATAAGCCAGAAGAGAATTCCACAAGTGAGAAGTCCAAGAGAAGAAACTGTTAGCATAGAACTTACGGTTACATCTAGCTCTATGTTAACATATATCTTACTTGAGATTTGAATGTTCTTGGTTTGCACAAATTTTAAAGTTAAGGATTTAAAAGTCAAAATCTTATATGTTTGACAAATTCTGATTATAAACATTAGCATTAAAAAAATGGTATTATATATAAATGTCATGTAAGAATTGATGAACTATTTAGTTACATTATGAATTTTATGATCTTCTATATGCCATGACCCTTTAGTGTGTGGGTGATTATTGCTCTCCACACCTCCCTATCCTTTGTCACTTATTTTGTATTTTTTTAATCATTTCCCCCCAAACAACACAATAAAGCCACTAAGATGCAAGAGGTTATTGACTGTGAAAGAATATGAGAAAAAGAAAAACATTATTAAGAAGTGAAAACAATAAAAGAATAGGCATTTAGAAGACAGAAGATAATGACTGACACTGCATTTAAATTCTTGAAGATCAAAGCTAACTGAAAAGCAAGAAGCTGAAAGTGTGAGAGGTGTGAAAAAAGAAACTGTTAGCATAGAACTTACAGTTACAGCTAGAAATTTAATCTCTAAAATGATGAAGCTAGGTGCCAAACTTAGCATGTTTGCTGCTTTTTACTATGCCTTTCTTTCCTGTTCTGTCAGCCATTTGCACAGGCTAGTTAAGTAGATCACTCACTGAATCTCTCTGACTAACTTACCTTTACTATATACTGTAAATATCAAATTATTTTGCTTTCTTTCCTCATTATATGTACTACAAATGTGAAGTGTCTCTTTCTGATTCAAAGTACAAGTGTCCTTTTTGTTTTTTTATTTCTCAAAACTTCCTCACTGTGTATATGCTTCATCCATAGAATTCTCAATATCCTTCTGTAGAACTACATTTCTTTTACCTGGAAGTTTTAAATCAATAAGATTCACTATATGCTGTCAATTCACATACTTAAACCATGTGATATTTTTTTAAATTTCAGGAAATTTGAATAATAATTTTTGTAATAGTTATTTTTTTTTCTTTTTTCACTTAAGGTTATAGTTATTAAAATTCTTGCATAAATTAATGTCATAGGTTAGAACATAAAAAAAAAAAAATTAAACTCACCACCTTGGATTTTGTTTGCAAATTATAAAACCCTTTCCTCTAATAATTAAAAAAACTTTAATCTCTGATTTGCCTTTCAAAAATTTGTTTGAAAAATCAAATCTCACTTTATGGTTTAAGCAAATTCTCTGCTTGTTAGTAATTCAGTTTCATTTTGTAGTTTTAAATCTTTTGAATTATTTTCTTCTTGTTATCTGACTTCAATTTAGAAACATTCATTTTGCAAATTGAAACCCTAAATTAAGAATTATTTTTTTAACATTTTGCCAGTAGCTTTTTGTGCACAAAGTTCATTTTTATTCCTTATGTTTTTCACTAGTTCAGGTGCCAACAGATTTTATTGCCCTGAAGTTAAATTTGATAGAGTTGTTGAAGATTAGGTTTGAAAGAATGTGGAATGAAAATAGAAAAGTCTTTCCTTTCCTGTTAACTTTTTTTTTGTCTATTTTTCTGTCGAGTTATCTCCCCTTTTATCTGGTAATTTGATTTTTTTTTTTCATTTTTCTTTTATTTGCCTTTTTGTTTATTTTGTCATAGTTTTCATTATACATTTTTCCTTTTTCTTTCTTGATATTTCAGCTCCACTTTTTTTTTAATCATTTTTTACATTCTCCTTTTCTTCCTGTTTTTCTTATACTTTACTCCTTTCTTCCTATTTATTTTTTTATACTTTCCTCCTATTTTTTTTCTTCTTATACTCTTCGTCTTTCTTCCTGCTTTTTCTTATACTTTCCTTCTTTCTTCTCTTTCACTTCTATAACATTGCTCCCTTATCATCTTTACTTTTCCTTACTGCTTTTATCCACTCTTCTTTTAACTCACTCCTTAATTTCTACTTCTTTCATTCCTTCCAATGTTACCATGAACTTCCACCCAACCTCAATGCTTTCTTCCTTTCTTATTCATTAATATTTGACAAACATTTCATATTTGATTCGTCTTGTTGACATTTGATTAATGTGAAAATGTGTTTGAATAATTTTCCCTCATCCTTTTATGGTTATTAAATCAGAAAACATTTTGTTTCTTGTAGTTTTTATTTTCTAGTTTATTCAAAGAAGAATTAAATATTTGCCTTTTTCCTCACTGAAAAATTATTTTTAAAACATTGAAATTGCCTGCAGGTCCTTGATTAAGGTAATGTGAAATTTCAAGATACTGATTTTCAACCAGCTGATCCTCAGATTTTTTCAGTACAAAACTGACCACATGAGATTGGAGAATGAAAAAAAAATAACATCTTGCTTTTGAAATGAAGGCAGAAAAAGGCATAAAAAAATAGGCATGAAAAGTGGAAAGAGTAGCAAATAAAAATGTCTGAAGAAGTAATGAAATATAGGAAGAAAGAAATAAATGAAAGAAAAATGCAAGGAAAATCTTTCCAGATCATGGAAGAAGTTGTTGCAGGAATGGAAAGGATTATAATTTTATGCCTCTTGGTAAAACCAAACAGGTAAAAAAAATAAAGAAAATTGAATATCTGGGAAGTTTTTTAACATAGGAGGGAAAATGCAATACTGAAATCCAAAGGCGAATTAGGATAAACAAAGATGCATTCCAAAAAGCTAAGTGGAGTGTAGTGGGCCATTTGTACATGTTGTGAGACAGACACATGCATCTCCTGAAATGGCCCACTACAAACATGGCAGACTCTCCTGGAATATGAGCCCACCAACAG